CAACCAGCAATAGAGTCCATCCCACACACTCGAACGTGAAAACAGTTGGAAGCAGTTTGATTTTGCTTTCACAACTTGATCGTATTGTCAGTAGTATCATGAGAAAGCCATCTTATCCAAAATCAACAGTATCCATGACAATTACCGGCGTTTGATCGTGGATGGACAGTACCATATTAACGGTTCGAGGCTGAGAATTCTCACGGAAAGTATAGGCTCTGGACAAGGTGCGTTCCTCCAAGTCTCTCTGACAATATAGCCAAGTTGCGAAGACAAGATGATGCCATTTAGATACGACGTAAGGAAACGGACATTTCATAAAACGTTACACCATCTTCAGGTGTGATTACTGAAATTGATTAGATTCCAATACAAGGGAACCAACCGAATCATTCTATATCTGTCCATCTGTACATATTTCAAAGATATGAAGACCAAGATGGTGTGGTCTTTTGTGCGGTCGCAGTTTCCTTTCGTTGTACAGAAGAAGTCTGATCTTTTCTTGGAAACTCGGTCAAGTTGGCAGGAAGACGTAGAGAAACGTACCCAGTCCGGAGTCCATTGTATGCATCATCATTTCCAGAGTAGGACCGTGGGAATGTACCACGTTCACGGTTCAACTTTGGAAATGATAATACATACAATGAACTCCGGACTGGGTACGTTCCTCTACGTCGTCCTGCCAACTTGACCGAGTTGCGAAGGAAAGATCAGACTTCTTCTGTACAAACCAAAGGAGACTTCGAGCACACAAAAGGCCACACCATCTTGGCCTTCATATCTTTGAAATATGTACAGATGGACAGATATAGAATGATTCGATTGGTTGCCTTGTATTTGACTCAAATTAATTTGAGTAATCACACCTGAAGATTGTATAACGTTTTGTGAAATATCCGTTTCTTTACGTCGTATCTAAATGGCATCATCTTATCTTCGCAACTTGGCTATATTGTCAGAGAGACTTGGAGAAACACACCTTGTCCAGAGCCCATAGTTTCCTTGAGAATTCTCAGCCTCGAACCATTACTTTAGTACTGTCCATCCACGATCAAACGCCGGAAATTGTCATGGATACTGTTGACTTCGGATAAGATGGCTTTCTCTTGATACTTTTGACAATACGACCAAGTTGCGAAAGCAAAATCAAACTGCTTCCAACTGTTTTCACGTTCGAGTGTGTGGGATGGACTCTATTGCTGGTTGTTTTATACACAGACTTTCCTATACAACCAAACACAGATATATCTGGATTGACATCATTCTATATTTATCCATTTATCTATCAATCTATCTATCTAGCTATATCATCATTGTTGCTTTCCTGTAATCAAGGCGTTCTTTAACTGGTTGTCGAATGCAAAAATTTCTTCTCTTTCGCCCAACAAGGCTTCTGCAAGCGTCGGATCCTGTCACTTGTAAGCAACATATTAATCATCCCATTTGCTCATCAATCTCTATTTCCCCCATGACATTCGATAGATAACGAAAGTGAATGTTGAATACGCTTCTGTCGTTGAAACAGATGGAATGAAAAGTGAATAAAGTAAACTTGCAGACTGTGTCTGTACATAGTCTGTACAAATATAAAAATAAAATAAAAATACATACATACATACCTACATATATATATATATATGTGTGTGTGAGTGTGTTTATGTGTGAAGATGAATGTGTCAGGTGGGGAAGGGAGGCTGCTGGCGTTGATGATTAAGTGTGTTCTTGGGAAATAGTTGCAAAAGTGTAGAGCTGGGAAGTGGAAGGTAAGGGAACGGATGTGAAAGGAGCAAGAAAGGGAGAGGAAAATGGGCCGAATGATGTTTCGATCTATTGCCGAGTGAGTGGACGGAGCCAGATGAGAATCCATCTTGACGGTCAGACCGGTCGTGGGATGTACAGGAGACAGAAGTGGCGAATTGAAATGGAAAAAAGTATGCAAAGTCGGATAATTGCAATGAAGAAAGCCAGAAGGCAGGACAAATGCCCATTTTTGCAGCTCGTCCGACTCAAGTGACAAGTCGTCGTCTGGTCAACCGGTGGATGGATATGCTCAATTAACCGTCCGTCCACTTTCGGCGTGAAGGGAGGAGAAGTGTGGCTGATGGCTGGGAGTACTCGACGCAGAACGAGCCTGATTGATTGGCCACCGGCAGGAGGACTCGGACAACGGCTTGGCAACAGGGAAGCAGGACAGCCGGATGGTCGCATGGCGCCAACACCCCAAGGGAGCACAGACAAGACAGACGGAAAATCCGAGATTGGACGACAAGAAACAGAAACTGGCCAGGCCAGAGTAGATTTTGTTGTGCCAATTGTTGAGTTCACTTCCC